TTATTTATTTATTTGAGACAGAGAGAATGAGAGACAGAGCATGAGAGGGAGGAGTGTCAGAGGGAGAAGCAGACTCCCTGCCGAGCAGGGAGCCCGATGCAGGACTCGATCCCGGGACTCCAGGATCATGACCTGAGCCGAAGGCAGTCGCTTAACCAACTGAGCCACCCAGGCGCCCAAGGAAAGCTTATTTTTTAAAGCATTAAGTAAAAACTTATCACTTACCTCCTCACTGGGAGCCAACTGCAAAACTACAGGAGTTTCTTCGGAAAATAAGGAGTGAATGGAATTTGCAACGCTGTCAAGACTAAAAGGAACTGCCTGAAATATAAGAGTAAGACCTCAATTATTGTTGGAACCCAAGGGGTAAGAAAAACCACTCAGCAACAACCAAAGAACCTTAAGAGAAAAAAACCCAAAAAACAAAAACCCCCATCATTTATGGAAATTCAAAAGACCCAAATCATTTCCAAACACAGCCCTTTGGAGGGCGCGGATGAAACAGCCCCTAAGCGGGCCGCGAGTCTTATCTCCTATATGCCTAGATGGGAAATAACTTGCCAACATGAAGGACACAACACTCTTGCACAAACCATTTTCTGGTGGTAGTTCATGTACTTTAAGCAGCAATTCATTTGGTTTTAATATTGTGTCACAATGAATGTATATTCTATAATAAAGTATCAACTTGTAAGAGGAGGTCTGAAGAATCTGAAGAATTAAATTTCATTGAAAGAGAACTAGACCTCATTTTTCATTTCAGAATTTAAAAAATGTTGGATTTAGGGTTTATCTCCAGATAGACTGAAGACTCAGACAAAGCATAAAGTATGTCACAAGAATTTTGAAGCCTCTATCTTGGGACCACATGATGGTATCAATTGAAATAACCAATTGTAGTAAAATCTACTTTTCTCTTGAATTTTTTATTGAAGTGTAACACACCTATGGCAGACTGCACAAATCTTAGGGTAACAGCTCAAGGAATATTCACAAATGGATACACTCATAAAGCCTAGCCCGAGCAAGGCAGAACATTATCGGCACCCTAGAAGGCTCCCGCTTCCATCCTCTCCACACCCAAGGGTAACCAAAACTTCTGACTTCCATCTGCATAGATTTGTCTTTATCCCACATTATTTTTTAAAATAAGTTATGGTCACTCTTCCCCTCAAAAAATTATGTTATTCTCAATATTACTGTAGTAAAACAAGCAGTATAATGGTGTTTAATGGAGATTTCTTAGTGATTTTTTTTTTTAAAGATTTTAATTTGTCAGAGGGCGCACAAGCAAGGGGAGCGGCAGGCAGAGGGAGAAGCAGGCTCCCCACTGAGCAGGGAGCCCGATGCAGGACTCGATCCCAGGACCCTGAGATCATGACCTGAGCCGAAGGCAGACGCTTCACCGACTGAGCCACCCAGGCATCCTTAATTCCCTTTACTATTGAAAGGTTAATGTTTGTAAGTAGCAAATAATGCTAACATGGTACAGGGAGAAATAAATGATTAATAAATCTTTGATAAATTTAATTTTGATGCTGGGATTTCATCTAGTTCATGATACTGTGAAATAAAGCCAATTCCTTCTTAATCAAGATGTGTATTGGGTGCCTGGGTGGCTCAGATGGTTAAGCATCTGCCTTCGGCTCAGGTCATGATCCCAGGGTCCTGGGATCGAGTCCCGCATCGGGCTCCCTGCTCAGCGGGGAGCCTGCCTCTCTC